TGCTGAAATTGCCTAAAATTGCGTGACCTGCCTTCTTTAATATTGACCACCAAGTATATTGTGGCTGTTCTGCTGTATCTTGTTTCCTCCGTCAGCGGTTTCCTCTCAAGGTAACCAGGATACTTCATGTAGCCGTGAAATGGAGGGCCAGCCAGTGGACGGACCGTGCGGTCAGCGGTGTATCTGTTTGAATGAGAGAATGCAGTATTGCTGCAGACAAAGAAAGAACTTTCCATCAATGACACGGAGTGAAAGACTTCGTTATGTAAACACGGTGATCAAAGCGTCTACTGATGTTCGTTATAGACATGAATACAACCAAATCATCGCTTCACACAAGAGGCTTTTTGATACTGGCATTCATGATAAACAGCAGTTTTTACCTTGGCACCGTTGGTATGTTACGTAACAGTCGTTACTCTATCAATTCCTTAAGTATCTTAAATTTTAGCTTGTAAATTAAGAAACCAAGAAGCAAAGACGTTTCGCATTCACTGATTCACTCATTTACTCATTCGCTCATTCATTCACTTATTTGTTCGTTCGCTCTTTCATTCGTGCGTACGCGTTCGTTCATAGTACATTCATGCACTCACGCATTCATGCATTCATGCATTCATTCAGTGGAAGTCACTGAAAACTTGAAATTCATTTCGAACACGAAAGTGTCGTAAGATTCAATTATTTCTTTCTTATTGTTGCCTTTAGGTTTCTTCTCCTTTTTGAAAACTTACTGCGAACTGTAGACTGTCGTGTGACCCTGCCTTATTGGGATTGGAGTTTATTCCCCGGGGCCGCCTGGCAGAGGGGCACTGATGACATTTGGTCGAACAAACCATGGGGACTGGGTGGGAACGGGAATAGACAAAGGAGAGGATGTGTGCAAGATGGACGTTTCGGGCAACGAAGATGGAAATTAACTCCATCGGCTAGACGAGGCTGTCTTCAGAGAGCGTTCTCTGGTAAGTGCAGTGATTAAAACATTTGATTATTACGTACCACTCGAGCTGTGATATATATGGGTTATTGACCAAATGTGAGGTCAAGATGGCTGGATATTGGCCAAGTTCTTTTTTTTGCGTGTTTATGGACGGAGACGGAGTCGAGGTCCATAAACTCGTAAAAAAAGAACGAGGACAATATCCAGCCATCTTGAATGAACAAGCTTAGTCAATAAAGGATTTATTATATGGCTTTCGGGGAAATTTTTCTTGCGGGACGCGGCGGGTAGTCCCGAGCGGGCAAGATAGCTTTATCTTGCCCGCTCGGGTAGCCAATTACGGGGCAGGATTTGATTCATCTTGCCCGCTCACGGAGCTAGTCATATAATAACTTTGTTTAAACGATGTGTAAACTGGCGTTGAGAAAATCTTAACTGGTCGACAAGCTAAACAGAGCGGAAAAAGAAAACAGCCCGTTATAAACAGCACGTGCGTTAACTTAATCACTTCTAACCCGTTTTAAAACTTAAAGAATGAGTTTACTTGGAAGATTTACATAGGAGAGAATTTAATTAACAAATGGCAAACGCGGTATCTTCCAATTTCGGGGAATCTTTGTTCACAGTATTTTATCATTAGCATAAACGCCAGTTCAGCTTGTGATCGAGCTACAAAAATAAAAGCTTTGAATAATGAAAGTGTACATATAGCGTGATTAACAATCCAAAGAATTTGAACCCGATGTATTATATACCTTTCGTGTGACCCGAGTGAAAATACACAACATTTTACCAATACTGTAAGCGCTTATTTGCGCTTTTGTTGCCCATAAGTTTTGCAGTTTTTGAAAAAAAAAATAGGTCTCCTCCAGGTATGTTTCAACCAAAGCGTTCAAGAGCAAAAAAATATTCACTGATTGCTAACTAGACTTTAAAGAGTCTCTGAGTGTTTGGAGCCAACCCCCAATCTAACATGATACCTTTGCTAGGTCGTATGCTTATGAGGTAGAATGGAATCTCTCTTTGGAGTTATGGATTCACGCAGCGGGAGGTTGCTAAGCACCGAGAGAATCGCTCGAGGCAACTTTCTAGCCTCTTGTGTGCTTAGCAAATCTCCTGTGTGGATCTATGGCTCAAAAACCTGCCCCTACTGTTTACATATGTTTTTGGTGCGACATTAACAAAATGCAAAACGGTTAACCAACACATGTAAACATTACGTTGAAAGCTGGGAATCGGAGAGCATTGCAGATTAGAAAAACAATAGGTTTTCCAGAGCCTCTCGGTGAAGTAGAAATTTCTAGACTAATACGTTTGTTACTGCTTTTGTTAATTACATTGTTCGAACATCCTGGAATTGCGTGGCATAGCAATATTTTAAAATAACAGGATGTAATCTACTGTATAAAAGCAAACTGTTGACAAATTGATCGAGTCAGTTGTCAGTCAGTCAGTTGTAGTAGTGGTGTAGGTTCGGCGCGCTCAAATGAAAGGAAGTCTGTTGGAATTCATCTGTGGAGTCTATTTGGAGTCAAAACACATGTAAATTGTCATCTCTAGCTTTCTCCCTATACTCGTTTAGGCTAAATCAGTCATTCAATTTGTCAAGCGGGAGACTGCGGAAACTTCTTTCGTTACTACCTGAACGATATTGGTATCTTTTAGCAATATTCAGATCAAAATCTTGAAAAACTAACCGAGTAAAGCCAAAATACTTTCACGTATAAATTGATGCGTACCTCAAGGCCCAAGAACTCGCTAGCTATTGTCAATGTACATCCTCAAATATTGCCGTCTGATCACATAATCCGTACTATAAAACAATAATTTCTATGCCATTTTAGATTCGTTTTGGAATCCCACGTTACCTTTTCAAGCTTAAAGAGCGAAGATTTTCAGGAATTTATCTTATTTCAACACCAGCAAAAGGATTAGTAAAGCTCTGTTCTCTAGACTGGACATTGTCATGAAGTCTGACAAAACAAACTAACACCCTGTTCACACTAACATGTTTAACATGTTCAAAAGTGGTTTAATTTAACAAAGTTAAAAATTAGTTGTTTATACCGTGCACAGCACCCCAACACCTGTTTAATTAAAATATGTTAGCAAAGTGATTTGAAATTTTTATTCTCGAAAGGACTGCAAAGCGTAATCGACAAATAGTCCAGTTTCGAATTCGCCATGACCGCTGATTAAAAGCACTAAGAACGCATTTGCACAGGGTTAGCCTCGACCTAAAGTAAAATATTCACAAATTCCAGCGTGAAGATGACCTGTTTATAGCTCTGTGTATTGTTTAATTTTCAAATTTGTGGCACCTTCCCACCGGTATTTGTGAATATTTTTTTAGGTGGAGGCTAACCCTGTGCAAATGCGTTGTCAGTGCTTTTAATCAGCGGTCATGGCGAATTCGAAACTGGACTATTGGAAAAATCTAAACCTGATTTAGTTATTGGTGCGAATGCGGCATAAGACTCTATCTCCTTTTCTTTTCTTTAACCTTTCTAGTTGTTTTCCTAATTTTCACGTTGTTTAATTCTTTTACAGCTAAACCACCCGATATAATCGCTCTTTATTTGACGAAAGCGCATTCTCCACGCGAGTTCACGGAGTTTGAGCTGGACGTCCGCGCGAATCTACACGACACTGTCCACTGTCGTGTAGGAGGCACGATGTGTGCCCACAACTCCGCTAACGCGCCGGAGTTCTTCCTCCATCACGCGTTCATTGACAAGATATGGGCCGATTGGCAGGAAAAGAGCACCTCTCATATGTTTGCCTATTTCGACAATCTTCGGGATGATCTCCGCATGCAGGAAGCACAGTTTCACCCCAGGGATTACGTAGACACTTTGTATATGCCACATCCTGATATCGATAGCTCTGAAGATGAAGGTCGAGTCTGTGTGGTGTATCAAGACCCAGTTCATCCTTTGTATAATGAAATCATGAAGCGTCTCGAGAGCTTAACCACAAGGGAAATTCGTCGGATTCCTCGGCTTCCCTTCCGCCCGGCCACCGCGCGCCAGCTACGAAATCTTGGAGTTCACCGTAAAGAACGACGCAAAGCAAAGAAGCTGCTAAAAAAGGAACTTCAGCCTGAGAAAAGACTTCAATATAAGCAGCTAAGAAAAATTTATGACAAAATGCTAGGTTTTCGCTTAACAGATCTCCCTTTCAGATTTTCAGCAAAGGACAGCCCATCCAGTAACAGTCTCATGTACGATCGATGGCTGGCGAAAGCTGCAAATACCACGGGATTCCGTGCCAAAGATGTCAAGTCTTCCCGTTTTCAAAACATTTCGAGTACATTCGTTTAATGCAAAATTTATTTGTAAACGAAATTCGTAGCTCCTTTAAAACTAAAGATGAGTCTTAAATTTCGTTTTTGTTCTAGAATGCGATGAGTGCACTATTCAATATTTAGAAAGTTTTGACAAAGTTTTCAACAAATCAAAAAGATTTATTACAAGGTTTATTAAAAAATTGTCAAATATAATTTCAAGATGTTTGAATGAAAGGATTAAAAAAGATATTACCCAGACTAATGCGTCTCTTTTATTAACACAGCTTACCAGGCAGGGGTCGGTGAGCGAGATGAGGGCTTCAGAAATACCGCTGTGCAAGTAATTTGTTGGCTTGAGACTTTTTCAAGAACAAAAATAATCCTGG